GTTCTACCCATAGACACATAAAAAGGATTCCTCAGTGAACCTTCCCAATTTTAGGACATATCTATTATATTTGTTTCTGTCTAATTAATTCTCAACGAGAAGATCTGAGTTTTAAGATTTAAGAGCACAAAAGTACACTTTGTTCATTGTGTTTTGCTAATTACTTCATATTAAATTATGGCTTGAAGTGATCTTGGAGTGAATCTTAAAAGATTGCGTTTTGTCTCGCTTTCTTTCTTTCTCTCTGTTGCTCCTGCTGTTTCATTCACGGATGAATAAATTCACAAACACCCCCAGTTTTCAGTGAGTCTGGATCTCACGTGGTTTACAGAAGCTGGGAGAAATGAAAAGCTGTCTCCATAATCCCTAGGGATCGTAGCTGTTGGGAGAGTTGTCAATATAAATTTATTCTTAGTTGCATTTTTAAAATCCCCTCCCCCAAAATGGGCAAACTTTCTTTCGAAAGAAAACTTTGATAGATGAATCGTAAGAACTTGTACTTTTTACAATAAAAAGACATAAAACTTAATCATAATGATGATTTCATACTTCCATCCATGAACAACGATGTTTTAGGCAGATTATAAAGTCACAAAAGGTACTAGTTTTAATCTAAAAAGTAATTCAAATTAAAGGGTTTTTTTTGTGGAGGCTTCTAAAAGTTGCTCAGTGCGAAGAGCACACATGCAAAATCACGATCTGTGTTTCATAATTATTGCTAAATACATAGTATGTGTCTATATATTTAATCTTTTTCAAATGTAACCTGTTATTATATTTATAATTGTTTTTATCTCTATTTTTACTATATTGTAAGCTACCCAGAGTCACTTTGGATGACAAGATATAAGTTGAATACATAAAAACAAACAAAACAATCAGTCAGTCAATCAATCAATCAATCAATCTGTATTTAACAAAATTCATAGGCTGAATTCATAGTCTACTGTAAGAACTTTGGGGTTTGTATAGAAGAACAACAACAAAAAGATCAGAAGCCATGGAGATGTATGAACCATAGAATCACCAAGAGTCAGACATAACTGAATGGATAACATCATAACAGAAGAATATCACAGAAAAATAATCAAACAATTATAATAATGATTTTAAAAAGGAAGGTAAACGGAAGCTAAGATAACCCTAACTCTACCCCTAACTCAGGAATGAGTACCCCAAATGTATCTCCAGGGACAGCATATTTCAGTGAACAACAACCATTAAAAAAGACTCATTTTTGGATTTATGCCTCTCTTCATTTTGAGATTGGATCTTAGTGGGTCCTTCCTAGTTGAACTGGCCAGGAAGAGAGAATCAATTTGAATAAAGTGGATCCTTAGATTTTCAACCCTCAATACAGTATCTCCATTTTCAATACATGCAAATATGCCTTGGTAAGGTCACACCTGGGATACTGCATCCAGTTTTGGTCACCACATTATAAAACCAATGTTGAGACTTGGGGAAAATTGCAAAGAAGAGCAACGGAGATGATTAAAGGTCTGGAGACAAAAACATATGAAGACCAGTTGTAGGATTTGGGTTTAGCTGGTCTAGAAAAAAGAAGGATAAGGGTGGACATGATAACAGTATCCAATATTTGAGAGGCTGCCACAAAGAGTTGGGGCTCAATTTATTTTTCAAAGCACCAGAGAACAGGACAAGAAACAATGAATGGAAACTCATCAAGGAGAGAAACAGCCTGGAATTAAGAAGAAACTTATTAACAGTGAGGACAATTAACTAGTGGAATAGCTTACCTTCAGAATTTGTCAATGCTCCAACACTGGGAATTTTTAAGAAGATGTTGGATAACCATTGAAGAGCCGAGGTGGCGCAGTGGTTAAATGCAGCACTGCAGGCTACTTCAGCTGACTGCAGTTCTGCAGTTCGGCTGTTNACAGCTTTAAGACTTGTGGACTTCAACTCCCAGAATTCCTCCTCCAGTCATGTTGGCTCAGGAACTCTGGCATTTGAAGCATGGAAGTCTTAAAGCTATCAAGTTACAAGACCTTACACACCTAACTCTTTAGGAAAAAAAACCCCAGGGGTGTTCAAACTTGACAGCTTTAAGACTTGTGGAATTCCTCCTCCAATCATGTTGGCTCAGAAACTCTGGCATTTGAAGCACGCAAGTCTTAAAGCTGTCAAGTTACAAGACCCTTGAACTCCTAACCCTTTAGAGAAAAACTCCAGGGATGTTCAAACTTGACAGCTTTAAGACTTGTGGACTTCAACTCCCAGAATTCCTGCTCTCGCTCTTCAACTCGATGATGTCCGGACGGGTGGGGAAAAGGAGCTGGAACCGGTTCTAAACGGCACTGTAGATTTGTGAAACCTCTTCTATAGAAGAGGTTAGAACTGGCAGGAACTCACCCCTGCTTGCCATCATAAGATATTAGGGCAGGGGTGGGGATTGAAAAATGTTAGCAACCGGTTCCCTGCACAGTTGCTGGGTGGGTGTGGTCATGGTGGGCATGGCCTACTTGGGCTCCTGCACTATGGCAGTGGGGTGGGGGTGTTTTCACTCTCCCCAGGCTCTGGAGGCTTTCATTGAGCCTCCGGGAGGGTGAAAACGGCTTCCCCAGGCTCTGGAGGCTGTTTCAGATGTCTAGAACTTCTGGGAGTTCCCTTTTTCACCCTCCCAGAGCCATCGTGTGGGTCCTGTCCTTACCTGGCATGATGAATGGGCCGTGTGGAAACTCCAGGGAGGGGATGGGTGGGGCCAGCCAGTCCTTGCAACTACCGGTTCTGCAAACCACCATGTAAAATTAACATCCACCCGAACCAGTCCGAACTGGCTGAACCCACCCCTGCATTAGTGGGAGAACAATGATGCAGAATCTTTTTTTCGCTCTCTACATAATAGCAATAGTAATAGCAGTTCGACTTATATACCACTTCATAGGGCTTTNAAAAAAGCTTTTTTTAAAAAAAAGCTTTTTTCTTACAAGAATGCTTCAAGAGGCAGAAAACTGTCAGTGATTTATTTCATTGCTCATTTGACTAATAAAAGGAGCAACAATATTTAGGGAATTGATTACTGTTACACCTGTATTGCAGTTAAGGACATTGAACTTGTCAGCTGGAAAACTGACAGCTCAGGTTTGGGACATGAGCGCTGCTTGATGGGGTGAGCTCCCGTTACTTGCCCTGGCTCCTGCCCACCTAGCATTTTGAAAGCATGCAAATGCAAGTAGATAAATAGGTACCACTTCAGGAGAAGGTAACAGCATTCCATCCACCTCGGCATATAATCATGCTGGTCACATGACCACATGACCGCTGGCTCCCTTGGCTAAAAAAAAAAAAGATGAGCATCGCCCTCTAGAATTGGACATGACTAGACAGGGGAACCCTTTACCTTTACCTTTACCTATTCCTATATTATGAATTAATGAAGCTGAATGTGGATAATGCCATAATATTGATACAGAATTCACCTGTATAATCCTAAAATTGAGATAGGGTGCATTATCTACTGTGGTCATTAGGGATAATATCATGGACTGTATCTTTATTTTCATAGTGAAATCCTTGTTCTTTAGAGGTGTTACATTCAAAATGCAACCGATTTTGAACAGTATTAAAAATGCATTGATTTAAGTGGGATAAGTTAAACATCTAATTGGTTGAGAAATGCAGTTTGTCTTAAAGTTCTTCATTTTCTTCAGATCATAAAAACTGACTGGGATAAAACAGTAAAAACGTATTTCTTAGAAATGAAGCAAATAATCACAGAAACATCTGAGAATTGAAAGGCTCCCTTTTGGGTAGGCAGCAATATTTTCAGATGCTTCCCGATCCATTCAGTATCACCACCATCTATGTAGCTTCCTCCTGAGACAAAATGGCTTACCTTTAAAAAATGTTATAAATGATGTGACTTCAGTTAAACACAATGCTTTGAAACCCATTCAACTGTTTGATGATATATCTAGTATCTTACATTTTGTACAAATGACACCATTTCTCAGAAACAGAACAGGGATTTTTGGGTTCCCCACATTGAAAACAACTTCATTGTCTATTGGCACCAGCAATTTTTTTTTGTTTTGTTAGCACAAGGGGACAGAAACACAGATGTTTTAAATATAATTATGCCTTTGGTCCTAGACAGCATTTCCCTCCAGCTCTCTCCAAAAACAAGATTCCTCCCCCTCAGATGAGCCTTGATCTTCCATCCAATCTTGCTGCCTTCAGGCTTTCCAGTCTCTTGGTCCTTTGCCAACTCTGGGCTCTTCTACCTTTTTCTGCTTTTTTTCTTGCTCGCTAACTTTCTGTGTAGTTCTGCTCCAGATCTTACGTATGCAGGAGACCTGCCAGATTCAAAGGCCAGCATTTGTTCATCTATCTAAAGTTGCAACGCAGTGAGAGAGAAAACAGTTTCTTCTGTACATTTCTTCCCACCCAGCCTTGTAGCCCCATCATACCCCAAAAGGGCATAAAGAATCTGAAGTCCAAGAAAGCTGAGGACAGTCTTACTCAAAATTTTATCTCTGCTTAAGTTAATCTTGAGGTCATTTCCTTCCTCCCACTTCCTTCCTTCCTTCCTTCCCCAGCCTAGCCAGCATCTGTCCTACACCCAGGCCCATGTTATGAAGGGATTTAAAGATCAGAATCAGCCCCTTGAATTGGATGTGGAAGCAAACTGGCAACCTGTGCAACTCACGTACTCCATTCTGGAGATCTGTGCCACCATATTCTGCACCAGCTGAAGCTTCTGGGTATCCTTAAGGAGAGCCCCATGTGCAGCACATTACTGTAGTCCACCTGGGAAGTAACCATAATACCATATGATATAGATGTAGATATAGATCCAGTTGTAAAGTCAGGTAGAGGACTGTATTGCTACAACAGAGGATTTTCACCTAAGAACAGCTGTGTAGTCAAAGAGTTGCTATAATTTTACATTCACTTTCTCAAACAGACTGCTATTTCTACTATATGTTGTGAATTTTATTGTATTCATATTTTCCAATAATGTTATTTTCTGTTAGTTTCTCTGAGATATTTGAGGAACGATGGGAAATTAAGTGCTGTGGTCTTCCCCAATGTGCCTTTGGCTGATGGAAAGCGCCATACAGTCCTCCTTCGGTTAAGTGGAGTGCAGCATGGCAACAGTAAAGCCGAACTGTATGTGGACTGTGTGCAGGTGGATTCTGTTCAAATTTTGCCTAAAATCTTTTCGGAGGTGCTGCAAAGCTCAGAATCCATAGAATTACGAACACTCCAGAAGAAATCACAGGTGAGTAGTACTGAAGGAAGGGGAAAATGTTTGTGATGGAAGGGCTTATGGCTCAGGAACTAATATATTCCTGACCCATATTTGGATGCCTGGAATCTCCCAAAATTCATCACTGAAATCTGGTAGCAAGATGGCAATTTTTAGTAGTATGATTTTCAGAGTTTTTATTGTAATAAAACAAAGATGTGTGAAGCCTTCTCTATCTTAGCATGCTTCATTTGTTTTAAAAGAAACATTATCGGCTCCCCCAACATTAAATAGGGAAGAGAATTTCAGCCACATCCTCCAGGGAAATCACTACATTGCTCCAGGGGTGGGTTCTGGCAGGCACTACTGCCAGTTCGCTTGTGTGCGTGCACTGCAATTAAAATTGTTCTGTGCATGCGGAGAACTGAAAAACAAGATGGCAGCACCTATGGCGAACCAGTTGGGGTGTGTGGTAGGCTTGGGTCGCTGCTGGTTCCAGCGACCCAGGGCGCCAAACCACTCCTGGTTCGGCCGAACTAGTCTGAACCAGTAGGAACCCACCACTGATTGCTGCCATGTCCTTTGCAGCCTATAGTGCCTTTTCATCCCAAATAAAGCACAACCGTTCAGCTTCTAAGCCCAAACCTTGGCCTATCCTTTGTGCAGTACAGGTAGTCCTTGTTGTGGCCCACCAGTGGCCAGTGGAACTGGCAGCAGATTCAGACAGTAAGGAGGTTGGGGAGGAACGTGGGGCAGTCCTGGAGTCTGGGGAAGGTTCTGATGAGGGCTCTGTGTCAAAGGCAGAGAGGGGGCCAGAGCCATATGCCAGTTATCAGCTGCTTTCCGAGACAGCAGTGAGGCAGACGAACAGCTGGAGCCTGTGTTCCCAGTGTGCGCATGCGCAGAGTTGCCAGACGAAGGGAACAGCTTAAAAACAGGGGTCGACTTGGGAGTAACGCCAGAGGTGGACGATGAATGGCCCCTCCCAGAGGAAATGAAAGAGGAATGAAAGATAAATAGAGTTGCAGGAGACAATTAGTTCGCTTAATTGGCTTGTGACTCTCCGAGATGCCTTGCCAAGTTTTTTAGATGTTGGCCTCTCAGCTCTCTATACCAGATAAGGTCTGTGACTGTAAATCCTCCTTTGAAAGTCTGTATGTGAATGAGCAGAATTCAGAGTCAATTAATAAAAGGGGTTATTGTTGGGACAAAACCTGACAAAGGGGTTTGCTTCATGCTCAAAGCCTACTCAGAACAGTCCTTGACTTACAACCATTCATTTAGTGACCTTTCAAAGTTACAATAGTACTGAAAAAAGTAACTTATAACTTTTATTTCATACTTACGACTGTTGAAACATCCCCCTGGTCAGAAGATCAAAATTTGGGCATTTGGCATGTATTTATGACGGTTGCAGTATCCTGAGATCACATGATCACATTTTGCGGCCTTCTGACAAGCAAGACCAAATTCACTTAACAACCATGTTTACTCACTTAACAGCTCCAATGATTCACTTAGCAACTGTGGCAAGAAAGGTTGTAAGACGGGGCAAAACTCATGCAACAGTTGTCTTGTTTGGCCACAGAAGTTTTGGTTTCAATTGTGGTTGTAAGTCAAGGACTACCTGTATTTTGCCCTGCTTCTGTCCCAAGTGTTGACAGCATCTGTTCTGGCCAGATGGGATGGGAAGAGTGTACAGGCAAGAAGAGGGAATCCACTAGGTCAACTTCCTTGGCATAATACTTGAGTGAGGTCTTTGCAAGGTCCAGTCCCTCTCATAACTGGAAGAGCTCTGTTGCGTTGCTTGCTTGATTCCTGTCCCCTTTTCATGGGAGAAGAACGTATGCATACAGCATGTAGAATATGATATGGGTGCACACAGCATGCAGAATAGAACACACACATATGCTGGCTGCATGAGAAGCAAAAACAACAGCTATATTATTCTCCCATACTCTATGGAGATTACGTGAAAAAAAAGTACCTATTCATGAAGTTGCTAAACCTCTTCTGGGCTGGATGTTTTCCCCCAGCATGGAATTATTTTATTGGTGAAACTATCCATGTAGATGTAATACGTTTCTAAAGGAAAGGTTTGGCTGCTTCATATATATTCAGTGCCTGTGTTCACTGCATCTCAATAGTCATAAAATCAAGGGAAAAATCAAAACAATAAAATGAAGGCAATAGAACCTATTTTTTATTGTCCAGGAGACTTTAGATGACTTGAAGTTGATTGTGAGAGGGTCCTTGTCCCAAGTGGAAACTCTACAAGACTGTTTTCTCCCACAGACAGAGCCACCAGTTCAGTATTCAGGTAAGGTTGATATCTTGATTGTAGGTAAATTAAACAACTCTACATGAAACTGTTATTTAAAGCCTTCATACAGCTGTATTTTATATCTGGGACTCCAAGCCATCTGCTTACCATCTGCTGGATGCACTTCCAGAGCAGCAGGATCACTCAAGGAGTTCTTTAACATTAGATGTTCATGTTCTTGGAAATGTATTTGCTTGGTGGACATGTTTCCTAATATTTCTTGACTTAGCAAGTCTTAACAATCAAAAATAATTTTAACTATTTCATTAGCAAATGAAACCTAAAAGAATATGGACGTGTTAAGATTAGTATATTTTGTGTATCAATTGGAATAAATCAGTGGTGGGTTTCAAATTTTTTTAGAACCTCTTCTGTAGGTGTGGCCTGCTTTGTGGGAGTGGCTTTCTGGCCATGTGACCAGGTGGGAGTAGCTTGCCAGCCATGTGACTGGGTGGACGTGGCCAACTTGTAAAATGTGGTGAAACTCACTTAACAATGCTCTTGCTTAGCAACCAAAATGTTGGCTCAGAAACTCTGGCATTTGAAGCACCCCTAACCCTTTAGGAAAAAAAAATCCAGGGGTGTTCAAATTTGACAGCTTTAAGACTGGTGGACTTCAACTCCCAGAATTCCTCCTCTCACTCTTCATCTTGATGATGTGCGGACGGGCGGGGTGGTGGTGGAGGGAGCTGGAACCGGTTCTAAACAGCACTGTAGATTTGTGGAACCTCTTCTATAGAAGAGGTTAGAACTGGCAGGAACCCACCCCTGGAATAAATGATAAATAGGTATCGTACAATTATATGTTATTTATTTATTTATATCCTACCCAGCAATGACTCTTGAGGTGGGTTGGGCTGAAAGTCAATGACTGTCTCAAAGACACCCAGCCAGGTTTCATGCCAAAAATGGGATTAAAACTCACAGTCCCATAGTTTCTAACGTTCTAGTTACTAGACCAAACAGGTTCTCAGTGCAGAGTCTATATAGTACCTCAATTAGAACGGATTTATTTTTTACATGACTGATACCTTCTGTTTACTTAGATGCAAGTCAGAATCCATAATTGTCTATAAACAAAGGTTTCTTGGATAAATTAAAGAATAGAAATACCGCCCTGTAAAGCCTGCGTCATAGCTGTATTATGTAAATATGTATAAAAAACAGGTCTTTCATAAATACTGTTTTTGAAAAATATCTGTTTATATGCTTAACTGCAAATTTGAAAAGAATCACTAAAAATTAGGGAGCAAACAATACAACTCGCACTGTGGCTTGTTTGCTTACTCCTCTTCTTCTCTCTAGATCTTGGAAACGTCACAGCTTTCTGTTCTTGCATTCCTTTTTATTTCAGGGATGGGCAACATTAGGATGGTCCTTAACATGTGACTAATAATTGAGTACTGCCAATTGGGTGGGACCATAATGAAACATGGGTGAGGCTTGGTTGGGAAAATTTAGGGGGCTGTCTTTCTTTTTTTAGTCTGAGGGATGCCTATTTCCAATTGTTTCTGCCTACCTGGTACATATGGGCAGAGTGGATGTGCTCTGGGTCCCCTCTGTTAAATGTTGTCATCTTGTGGTAGTAAGGAAATATGCCTTCTTTTTTTCAGTCTCAGCCTTCCCCCCCACCCCAAGATACAGACAGGAGTTTCTTGCCAGCAGTTCTGGGAAGTCCATAATACTTGGCTTTGCTCCCAGATCCAGAATTAATGTATTTGTGGGACTCTTGTCCTTGTAATGCTGTGATTGTTTTTAATTCAGGCTGTCATGTTTTGTTTTAATGTTTTTTTTTAAAAAATGTTTTAAACTCTTTTAATTGTATATTTAAATTTTGAATTTTATAAGCTGCCCAGTCTCCTAAACTGGGTGGCCATTGTAATGAATGAATGAATGAATGAATGAATGAATGAATTAGTTAATAGATTGCTGCCAGCATTCAGAAATCATGGCCTGAGGGAGTCTTTTGGGTCCCCAATGTGATGCCCCCTTTGCTTTATTTTTAAACCATGCTTGGGTTGGAATGTCTTTCCAATAAAGAATAGTTCCCTGTAAATTGGGATGCCTAAGTATCTTATGGTTAAATGAGAATTTCACTCAAATTCAACTACTGGTATATGAAACATTTAGTGTTTGAAAGGACTGTATCACTGCTTGTATTGCTAAGATTTCTGATCTTACTGCATTTTCTATTAGTTGCTTGATTGTCATAAATGTCTCTTACAGGTGATGTTAACAGGCAATTATTAAGTCACATGTTGCAAATGAACGAGGTACTAGTTGAAGTGAAAGATCTCCTCAGACAGCAGGTATCTCTGAGCTTTCTGTTACAGCTTCTTTGTTTTGTGCTATCTATCTATCTATCTATCTATCTATCTATCTATCTATCTATCTATCTATCTATCTATCTATCTATCTATNACACACACACACACACACACACACACACACACACGATAATATTATTTTAGGAAAGGAAGTGATTTTGTTCAAAATGCCAAAAAGGTAGTTTAATCTTCTTCAACTTAGTTCTCAGTTCTTTTTTCATTTGCTGAATTTCTGTTCCCAAAATTGAAAATGATGTTTCAGAATAGGAAGATGTGTCTGATTTTATTGTATTATTTATCAGCAAAAAGCCCATTCATGCAAACACTTTTAGACCTGCCAAAATTATGAACATTAGGACTATTTAGGCTGAAAGCAAGAAAATGATGCAAGAAATGTGTGTCATAGTTAAGGCTCCACCCCAACAGTATTGAAAAGTCTGATCCCCTGACTTAAGAATTTAAATTCCCACTAGCTTTAGATGCTGAAGCAGAATTTTAATTCAACAACCAAGCTGAACTTTCAATAGAGGTGACAGTCATGAAAATGATAAGGTGTAAATTTTAAATTAATACTTTGGTTGAGAGATGTAGGTTTCAAAGCTTAGACTTAAGTGTTAGCTACTCTGTGTACTTCTACTAAATTCATCAGAGAGCTAAGATATGAAAGGGCGGCTGTTTACTTGGACCAGACTTGTCATACGTTCAGCATGAATAAATATGCTAGTATAAATCTCATACTGAGGATTTGCAAACCTAAGCTATGTTACAGCATTAATTGTATAATGTGCCTTTTATTGACAAAAAGTAATGAAGTCAGAATAATTTGAGGTAGATGGCTCTGTTTAATACATTTTATTTGTCCAACCAAGGTTAAGGAGACAGCATTTCTGAGGAATACTATAGCTGAATGCCAGGCATGTGGTAGGTCCTTTTGATCTCCTGGGTTTAAGTAGGATTTTTATAAACTTTACAATTAAATCCAAAGAGACCTGTTGTTATGCTTAGCTGCTAAGTATGTAGTTAGATGGCATGAGATGATTGATTTTTATGGGGCTTTGTTAAATAATGGTGGAATTATGCACATAGCCTTAAGTGATAGCTGTAACAATTAATTTAATAGCCTCCCCCTAAGCATGCTAACTCAGTAATTGTGTTATGCATGCTGCTGTTCACATAATAATTGCAGAAATGAACTACTCTCATTCATTGGGAGAAATGACCCGCTCGCTTACTCAAGGTTATTCTCATTGGCTCTCTCAAGATTTACTTGATTTAAAATGCTATACTTTATCACCATAGGGTTGGGAATAGGAGGTTTCCCCACTCCTTCCCCACATCCCCCGAAACCCAAGTGTGAAGCCGATACTTGTTTCCCGGGGGTACACTGCACAGACACAACAGATGGGTACCAGTGTGGTCCTTGTCCTGAAGGCTTCACTGGAGATGGAATTATTTGCACAGATATTGATGAGGTGAGTTATTCTTTGAGTGCTTTTCAGGGCTAGCCTGAGGTACAGTATTTTGCTATCTGAGACATAGGTGGAGTTAGCAGAAGCTGAAGCTAACTTAGAAGAGAACCAGGTTTTCTAGCACACCCAAAGGTAGCAGGTGAATTGAAAAGTTGCAGGCATCTGGGCATAAATAGCTTTGTTCTGTGAGGGAGAAAAACAGAGGAGAATTACTACATCTGCCTCTTTGTATTTGTTCCCTGTGATACAGATAGTCCTCAACTTACCACTGTAATTGAATCCACAATTTAAGTTGTGATTATGGTTAAGTGAGTCACCATGTGACTGCGGCTGAACTTTTTGTCTTTTATGTGGTGATTTTTAAGCAAATTTGGTGGCTGTAAAGTGAATGTTCTGCTCATTAAACAAACACAGTGGTTGCTAATGAACTCGTTTGCTACGGGGTGGTTTTTTTATTTCTGGTAGCTAGAAGTAAATGCCACTTTCTGGCAAAAACATAACAAATCACAGTAATATAACCACAGGGGAGCCTGACTGTCAGAACCTCAAACCCAGGTTGTAATGGGTCTTTTGTAACTTCAAAAAGTCGAGGATTACATAGAGGTGTGTCCCTTTACCTAATGGCATGATTGGTCCTGCATAGAAAAAAACATGCAGTACTGAAGATCAATGCAATTCAAGCTGTCTTATTCTCTGGCTAAAGATAATTTCTCAATGTCTAGAAAACCCATATTTCAAAAAGAAAAATTGTTGGGCTCCTTTTTAATTCTAACATTAGACTTAAGGATTCAGAATGTGAGTCAAATAGAGCATCTAACAAATACCTGCATGTTTAACTTTGTTGGCTGGATGTCTTATAATTAGTATGTAGTAAAAATTGGAACTTTGTCTTTCAGTGCCAATATAAACCATGCTTCCCAGGAGTGCAATGTGTGAACATGGCTCCAGGTTTCAGATGTGAGGCCTGCCCACCAGGATATATTGGGCAGATCATCCAAGGAATGGGAATAAACTTTGCCAAAAATAACAAACAGGTTTGCCATCTCATTGCTGTTCTTTGTAACCAAATGCAGTCTTGTTCCTATAAATATTTTGCTTCATATAGCTGAACTAATTTTTCTTCAAGATCCAATAATAATCTCTATACAAATGCCTGCATCATTTCTGTATACACAGCAAAATATGGTATTAATAGGCTGCAGTATTTATTTCAATTGATGGCCCACTCATTTTAAGGCCTCCAAGGGCTTTGTAACAGTTAAAATGTATTTTGTCATTGTTTTTTGTCTGGTCCAATACACGTATCCTTAGGTTCTTTCTAGTTGGCTTTGTTGAAATGCGATACTATTATGACACATTACACCCTTTCCCTTTCTTGAGCTGAGCTTCACAGGGTCCCCCCACTTCCTCTGAGGCACCCCTCAGGCTTCGCCTGCGATCCTGTCCAGTTGTAAGATTGCTTAATGCTACAATGGAAATGCTGGGATTTCAGCCGTTGTGAAGTAGTCATGGGCATCTTGCTTAATGACTGTTTCACTCTACAACTGAGATTTCGGTCCCAATTGTGGTTGTAAGTCAAGAACTGCTTCTAATTTAATTTTCATCTGCTTCTCACTTCAAAGGCTTGCATTTATGACCATTCAGCATTTATGACCAGAAAAGGCTGTGAAAGCAGCAAAAAGGAGATTTGAGGTCTGCTGCTGTTGTCCTTGAGGTTTCAAGTTACTCCTTCTTTTTTTGAGACTTAGCGCGGGGGTGTCAAACTGGCGGCTGTCACGTTCAGGCCATGCCCACCCCAGCTCCGTGAATGGGGCAAATGTCACGAAATGTCATGTGACGGCAACATTATGTGGCAAGTGTGATACCCGTGACTTAGTGAAAAGACCTGCAATTTTCTCTGATGTTCTGTGATCAGATTATAACAAAATGGAAATTTTGTGATTTAAATTTTCCTTCCTTCCTTTGTTCTCTGTGTTTTGCTATGTTTATTGTCCTGCCTCATGAGGAGTTCTAAAAATCTCAAAAGTTCACTCATTATCTTGGGAGCTTACATTGATTTATTTGATTGGGTTTTTTTTTTTAAAAAATGATCTTATAATTTTTTAACATTAAGAAAATAAATGCCTATAATTTTCATCTACAAAATAAAGCCACTCAAAATAAAGACTTCTCTACAAAGACTTAATGTGAATTAAATGTGAAATGTTTTGCTTATTTGCAATAACAAATTTCATGTTCCCCATTTAGTTTAATAGCTGAATTTTCTCTTTTGTATCTCCCCATCCAATATATCCATCCTTTGAAATATATATTCATTTATATTGTCTCAATACACCTGCTGCATTAGAATGATTCGATTTTTTCTTCTACATTAAAACTCAATTATAGTTTAATAATATAATTCTTTCAAAATATTCCTTTTTCTATATTTTAAAATATATATTCCTTGCTGTAAACATTTTATTATTAAACAGTGGATCTGTTAGAGTCAACTTGCTTTTTTTTATAAATCACATTAGGCTTGCTTGGACATAGATGAATGTCAGCGTATAGCAAATGGAGGTTGTGTCCCAAACTCCAAGTGCATAAACACCATGGTAAGCATTGCTTACAATTGTCTGGATTTACTCATTCTTTAGGTTTCAGAAATAACAGTAAAGTTGTCTTGCTGATTATTGTTTTGCAGTGAATAGAAGAAACATATTCATTATAGCAATAGCACTTATATACCATTTCAAAGTGCTTTACAGCTCTCTCTAAGAGGTTTACAGAGTCAGCATATTGCCCCCAACAATCTGGGTCCTCATTTTATCAACCCCAGAAGGGTGGAAGACTGAGTCAGCGATGAGCCTCTGAGAATCGAACTGCTGGAATTAGGCAGAATTAGTCTACAGTACTGCATTCTAACCACTGTGCCACCATGGCTCTTATATCCTTGACTTAGCACTAATTAATGGCTAAAATCATAAAAACATGGAAGCTTGATATTGATGGAAGCATGACCACAAACTACTTCCTTCCTTTGAATAAGTTTTGATCTCCAAGGCTAGATGAATTGTATCCAAGAGATGGACATTTGTTTCTGAGTGGAGAGGTGTTAAATGTTGACATGTACATCATGATAAAAATGCCAGGAGTTCTATACTTGCCTCAGCTGTTAGGAAGCCTGTATAGTATGTACTGTAAGGCTGGGATTTCCATCATGAAACAAGCATGTGTGCATTTATTTATAGATATATTTATTTATATTTTGCATTTCTAGATCACCTAGCTCCCTCAATGAAGGACTCTGGGCAGCATACAGTATCATTTTATTTCATAATAGCTTGCTGCAGATGCTGTGAATTACAAGATATTGAAAGAAGTTGCTGATAGTTTAATAACTGAATGTATAAGTATTATCTTTACCTTGGTAAGTTTAAGATGGGTGGACTTCAACATCCAAAATTCCTCAGCCAACATGGCTGCCTGAGGAATTGTGGGAGTTGAAGTCCATCCATCTTAAACTTGCCAAGATTGAGAAACACCGGTTTAACTGAGTGTATAAATATTATCTTTAAGACTTCTTAGATAAATGGGTAAAATGCCAAATGATTGAAGAACACAAATTGAGCCTAATCTTTAAAAAGGAGTAAAAGGAAAATCCAAGGAGCACTTAGTCTGACAAAATGTCCACAGAACCCCAAAGCAGATCATAAAAAGGCTGATCTGTTAAATATCTTGAACTCAATACAATAATTAGAAGTCAGCTTGGATTTGGCAAAGAGCAAGTCTTCCCAATGAAGTCTCATTTTTTTTGTTAGATCTTCTTTGGTAAATTATGAAAATGCTGTAGATTTAATATATATGGATTTCAACAAAGCAACTGTGAAATTTTTAGTAGCAAGTTAATAAGGGTGGACTGGATAACAACAAATTAATGATTTTAAGATAGAGGAAGACAGATTCCAATTGAGCATTAGAAGTCAGCAATGGAACCACTTACCTAGGCAGTGATTGTTTTTAGTCACTGATTCTTTTAGTTGCAATATTTAGTTTATGGATGTATGTGTTTTTCCTTAGGGTTCTTACCATTGTGGTGCTTGCAAGCCAGGATTTACTGGAGACCAAGTCAGAGGATGCAAGGCTGAACGAAGCTGTAGAAATCGTGTTCTCAATCCTTGTAGCATCCATGCCCATTGTTCAGAAATAAGACAAGGGGACATTTTGTGTGTTGTAAGTCCGTGCTCTTCCCATCATTATTAAATATATATGAAACTTAATTTAGAACAGGGATAAAGAAGAAAAGAAAAGCAAGCAAAAGAAAAATATATGTGAGAAATCATATTTTATAATTTATTTTTTAAATATGCTATAGTAGTATTTTGGAAGCAAATTTGTATCCATGTTTTGTTTGGAGTTTTGACATTTACAAAAAGATTTCTACATTAATACATTTTTTAAAAAGTGCCTTAGTCTGTTTACACACGCAACACTTCTCTGCATGCACAGAAGCATCTGGGCAGGTGGGCAGAGCCTTCTGCCACTGCCACTGCCAGTTCAGTAACAAACCTCTGTTTTGGATGTGTTGGGGCTGCAGAATGTCAGCCATATAATCAGTCATCATCTCATCCTGCTTAAGAATTTTGGAAGTTTCAGACATATCTCATTTTAATCAACTCAGAACTGGGAAAGCTGTAGAGGCATGTGTATAGGAGGTTTAGAATAGTTTCTAAATGTGACACTAAGCTTGCCCAATTTAGTATTCTTAGATATTATGGGAATATAGCTCCTGAAATTCATTGACTATGTAGAAATAGAAACACGGTGGCTCAATGGCCAAGACACTGAGCTTATCGATCAGAAGGTCGACAGTTCAGCAGTTCAAATCACTAGCACCATGCAACGGAGTGAGCTCCCGTTACTTATCCCAGATTCTGCCAACCTAGCAGTTCGAAAGCATGTAAAAATGCAAGTAGAAAAATAGGAACCACATTTGGTGGGAAGGTAACAGCGCTCCGTGTGCCTTCAGCGTTTAGTCATGCTGGCCACATGACCACAGAGATGTCTTCGGACAGTGCTGGCTCTTCGGCTTTGAAACAGAGATAAGCACCACCCCCTAGGGTCAGAA